CGGCCCTGAAGACGAAATTCGTGTGAAGACCCAATTCGGAATCAGAATTCCTACATCACCCTGAACTCAGAGCGTGGAGCCTTGGACTGAGGGGTGCCGTTGATTTCAACATCGTCTTCGCGGCTTCATTTCGTTTTCAGGGCCGAATATCGTCTTCAGGGTCGAATTTCGTCTTCAGGGCCGAGTTTGGTCCCTGCCTATGTATGTATGTATGTATGTATGTATGTATGTAGGTATGTATGTATGTATGTCTGTATTTTGTATGTACGTATGTATGTATGTATGTATGTATGTATGTATGTGTGTGTATGTATGTATGTATGTATGTATGTATGTATGTATGCATGTATTTATGTTTGATTGTTCGTTATTGCTTGTGCCTGTTACCTGTGTATCAATGTACGCATGTCGTAGATATGTGTATATGTAGGCTTTTATGTATATGTATGTACCTAGGTACCTAGGTATGCTTAGGTATAATAAAGGTTGTAACTATTTGTATGTTTGTATGTTTATACGTACGTTTATGATGGAAGAAATGGATGGATGAATGAATGAATGAATAACGAAATGAATGAATGAAATGAAGGAAGGAAGGAAGGAAGGAAGGAAGGAAGGAAGGAAGAAATGAAATGAATGAATGCATGAATGGATGGATGGAATGGACGAATGAAGGGATGAATGAATGAACAATATGAAATGAAGTGAAGTAGAATGCAAGAAGTCGGATTAATGAAAGAAAGAAAGAAAGAAAGAAAGGAACGACATGACTGGCTGGATAGTATGGTTGGAACGAATGCATGTACGGATGAATGAATGGATTGATGGAACGCATGCAAGAGTGTAGGCATATGTATATGTGTATGTACACCCGAGTAAGGAGTCTGCAGTTTGCCACCCGAGTAAGGAGTCTGGAGTTTGGGCCACACCTTCAACCCAGGACTTGGACAGTGGTGGTGAGGTCGAGATCGACGAATTTTTGATGGGGTGCTTACGTTTACGAGGCAATGCACGCGCCGTCGATGCACCTGGGCAGAGGAGTTCGTTCTGCCAGTTTTTTTGCGAAACGCGTTATCTTGTCACCATCTTCCAGGCTCCAGATATGGGTTTGTGCATGACCCTCATACGGCTCCGTCCGCAAGTGTGAGCATGCTTTGGATGTAGCATGAAGGCTGCTTTGTGTGGCTTATCCAGCAACTGTGATGGATGATTGTAAGGGGGTAAGGCCCGCCCGCACCCAGACACAATTGCAGTTTCCGCATTGGGTATCGTGTTGCCAAAGGATGTTTCTGCTCGCTGCAAGGTCGGCAAGCTCATTCACGACCAGAACTGGCTCATCAAGAATTTCGGCAGGTTCCAGGGAATCTCGGCATACTTTCATGAGGCTATTGTTTATATGAGCAGGTGCGCCAGGCAGAAAAAAAGCCGGGCCCCACCCAGCGCAAAATTTCTCAAAGCCCTTTCAGACACAACCTAAACCCATTAACCGAAGCCCTACATCTCAAAAGCCTAAGCCAAGGGCATGTGGAAGTTCAGCTCTCCCATCTGTCTCTTGGGCCCAGCAGTTGTTGTTTGATATTGTGGGATGTTTGGGATTTGGCTTTTGTTTGGAGGGGTTTCGGGGATAGGCTGTGTTTACATCCAGTGTTCTTGCATGTTGTTGTGAATGGTTGTTCTACGCAGTAGGGCTTTATCCTCCCATTGTGGAAGTTTTGTTCTGGCCGTGTCATCAAACATGTCGTTGGTTCGTACATTCACTAAGTGTTGTTGTTTTCGCTCGTTGCATCAAGACGCAGCTCGCTGCACCAAGTGGCATGTATAATCGAACACGTCTGTTGTGATGCGAGAGCGACATCTCCCACCGCTCTCCTGTTCTAGCGATTGTGGAAACCGCTTTGGTTGGCCAAGCCGTAAAAGATTTGCGCGACCACAACTGTGGCTGTATACATGGGCTTACGCTTACGCTGATGGAAGCCGGCTTTCTTTGGGGAGTTCTTCGCTGCGGTCGTTGATAGTCTAGGGCGGGTGAACATGTGGATCTTACAATTCCTATCTACGCTAATTAACTAGAACCCAAAACCCTAGACCTCGGAGTGAGCGGCGAAGCATTGGCGGCCTTGACGCCGTTTGTCAACTGAGGCTTGGCCTTATGGCGTCGGCTTTGGGTGTGGAGAACGTTGTTATTGAAGGTCTCGCCCCTGGAAATTTCAGCAGAGGTACCACTCCATGGGACAAATCAGGTGAGAAACTCGCTTCACCAATTCGTACCAAAGAACAAGGCTGATAGGATGGCAAGCCGTATTGGCAGTTTTTCTGGACACTTCCGTGCTGCTATAATCCTGTCCTTACAGCCGTGTTAGCACGTTCGGTTGTTGTTGACGTGCACAACCAAGCGACGAGTTGTTCTTGTTGAGGTGTCCATAGCACTTTTCAGCTGCATGTAGCAGCGCTTGGTGTTCAAGGAGTCGGGTGTGGAAAGCCCCTCCTGGGATCTTGCATGCAGACGCATGTAAGACTGCTTCGGTCAGAAATCGGCTGATGCCCTATCAGCTCGGTGTGCGAAGAATGCCTCGAAGAGTGCTTCATTCCTTCACTGAAGATGTGATCTTCTCACATCTTCAGTCGCATGTCAGGTTGCCCTGAGGCGGTCTCGCGCTGTCACATGGCATGGCATGCCGTGGGCGATTCCGTCGACAGTTACGCCTACGTTTCGACGAGCAGTCTTGGCATGCAGGGTGTTGCATGAGACTGCAATGGAACTCTTTAGAAATCGTTCTCCACGTCTGGACAAGGTCCACAAGGTCCTTCCTTTGCCTTACATGACCTGTACACAGACGAGTCCCACGCGGGCTCATGCCCGAGATGCACAGCCTCAACGAGCTTAAACCCCAAACCCTGCATGAGCAGAGCCCAAACTCTGAGAGCCCGCGTTAGTTTTCTGCATCGCCTGTCTCACCAGCAGAACCACGACCTTTTGAAGAGGCTCTGTGTAAAAAGGTGCTGGGAGAGCGAACCCTGAACCTCAAAAATCCCAAGAGACCTGAACCAGAACTCTTAATTCCAGTGCTTGGGCCCTCATTCCTATGTCCACCCTACTCAGCAAACTTCGCAAGCACTTAGAGGGAAGGCAATAAGGCAAGCAACATCTGGTGCCATACCCTAACCATCACCGCCCGGGTCGATCGCCCTCGTTTGCCCCGGTTTTTCTGTCGCTCAGGTCTGCATCGTGCCATGTCCATGTTGCCAACCCATCCATTGGCCAGTGCATCCATGCCCAACCATTATATCGTCCATGCTACCAACCCATCCATTGGCCAGTGCATCCATGCTTCAACCATTTATCAACACATGTTTCCGTGCAGAGGCATCGTTGCTGTTTCTAGTTTTTGGCGTTTTTGGATGCGCATATCATAACGGAAACTTCATGTTGAGCAATGCTAACATGCGAAAGTATCGACCCTGCCATGCTGTTCCAACATTGTTCGAAGCCGCGGTCAAAGCAGAACCTGGCCTTAAGCCTCCATCCCGTCCTGCCACTGCACCTCCCTGTCAACATCAAGAAACTCGGCCCCGCAGAAACATCGAGTTTTTGTTGCATCAATTGACGGCATATCATCACAGCGGCGACGCCATTTTCGACAATGCTAACATGCGAAAGTACAGGTCCTGCCATGCTTTTCGTACTTTGTTCGAAGACAGACTGTGGCAAAAGACGGTGCCCCAGCCCCTTATCAGAAGCAGCGTCATGATAGTTTAAGGTTTTGTTTATTTTGTTGGTAGACTGTCAACTCGCAGAATGACCACCAACTACAGAAATGGACGCCTCAGCAATCAATCAGAAGCATGGACACTTGCCACCCACGTGAAATTCCGATGGTCCCGGAAACACGCTCGACTCGAGTTCCCAAAGTAGTTGCCGTAGAAAAGAAACAGAAACTACTTGTCGGAGCCCTGTCAAGACCCTAAACCCCTGTAACAGTACCGTACCCAAGAAGAGAAACTGTCTTGGCCACGAAGGGTGGGACCGCCGAAGAGGCTTGGGCAGCAAAGTTTCGGATGTGGGAGCTTGCAACAAGAAGCCGGATCTCCATCCTCATTGTAGTGACATGTAATGACCCCTGAATCTCGCTTCTTTTCGGGAACCCATGTCCATTAATGCCAATAGCTGTTTTTAGGATGGCACGCCAACCACACAGCACAGCCCACCTGTGCAACCACATGTTCTATACTATAAAGACTGTTTAACAAATAGAACTTTATTTGGGTGCGGCTGCCACCCTTCAACCGGAGATTTCCTGCTTGAACACCCGAAGCTTGTCATTACGTGGGCCTTCGATGGTTACGCATTTTTGAAGTTTTCTTCTGGTGATTTCTGGTGTGAGATGTAGGAGAGTCTCTGAAACCAGCATGCTGTCCCAGAAGCAGGCGCACTCTATTGGATAGACCCGAGCACTAAACAAGTTATTTTCTTTCATGGTTCTTTCCTGAGAGCGGTCTGAGCAAGTAAGCTACATAGCAGTAAGCTCAGCATGTTTCTCACCACAAGACCTGGCGTTTTAATCAGAATCGATCAGTTTCCACCGCCCGATACAGCAACGATTTCTGATGGTTCAGCGTTCCTGTAAAGGTTGCTATAAAGGCTTCTCTAAGGGTTCCTTAAGCGATTTATTAAGGGGTCTAGAATGGGTATCCTTCCTGGCGACTGTTACGCCAGCTCTTCGGACCATTGTTCGCGCTGCACTTCGTCTTGTTCTTCCTCCTGCTACGATGGCAAGATCCTGCATGTTCCCTCAATGCTTGTGGTTCGTGCTGTTGGTTAAACTTGCTGTTTGTACTACTGCCCATTAAACAAGCCTGGCAGCCTGCATGCCGTTTGGTCGGATAGTGTGCCCACGAAGGCTACCCGAAGAAGCACTAAGCCCAACTCATTGCTGAAACGCCAGAGTCGGAAAGAGAGGTCCGAATATTTCGTAGCATCCCTTATCGTCCTACTATGCCTTACAGTCAGTTGATAATGTTGATATGATATGATCATCTACCCCAATTCCCCAACTAGTCTGATAAATGCAGGCCCTGATAATGAAGCCTGACCATGAATGCAAAAAACCAAGGAAGTTCAGGGCCTGCTGGCCTGCGACCCCTGTGCGAAGCGTGAGCTCTCCGTGAGCAGCAGCGCTGCTTCTCGTTGAGGGTTCGTGGGTTAAGAGTCAGTTAAGAGCCTACGGTTCTGGTTTCGGGTTTGTGCCGGGTTTGACTCATGCTAAATCATGTCAGAGTTGTCTACCGGTGAGTAACAACTGGATCGTAACGTCTTGAAGGCTGAGGAGCTGAAGCACTGCTACAGCCGTTGGTGGCTCTTCTTGCAGACTTTCTTGTGCAACCATTTCGTCGCTTCCGCTTCTGTAGGATGTTCGCCTTCGGCTTCTCAACCGGTATCGCTTGCAGATTCGGTTGGATCTGGCCATAGTCACTGTCGGGTTAGCCATGATGGGTCAGTGGGGACACGCCGGCCTGTCGGCCACTTGGCGCCAGGTCGCCTCACTTTAATGCCTTTGTAAGATTACTCCTGAGTGATATTATAGTGTAGTAGTATAACTTAGTTAAGTCTACTTCATTATCGTATTGCTAGTATGTAGTGTGTTATGGCAAATTGAAAAAATACTTTAATACAGTTAGGAATACATCCAGAAAGCTTGTTACGCTCATGCTTGGATCCTGCAATCCGGACAAGGCATTGAGAAGGGCCAAAGCATCGCCCATCTGTCCGCATCTGAAGCTTATGTGCAAAATTGGCGTGAGAGCATCCTCGTGTGGAGGGCGGGAGGGGGGGGGGTTAATGGGCTTTCTCTGATGTGATGATATGACTGTCACTTGGAGTTTCTTGTTCTTGATGTGTTGATGCTGATGAGCACCATCCACTTTGAAAGCCCTAGGAGACGGAGAGCCGCAAGGGGTTTCATGCTGCTTTCCATCGAAGCTCAATTTCAGTTCAATGCCACCTCCAACCTTTTGACCGAGCTTCCTCTTCATGCTTCGTGGTTTACCGTAAGACATCCGACTTGGGTTCTATCGCAAATCACAGTCATTGTCCAGGCAAGTTCTGGCCGCAAGTTACCTGCATTGTTGCCGCGGTTCTGTCAAGATCAAGGCTGCACCTCAACGTTTGGTAGAAACGGTGCATGTCGATGATGTTGCCACACTGTACAACGTTACTGAACTGGTTGAAGGTTCTTGACTTGTGCTTGGGCCTGTTCTCAAGCGACAGATCATGAGATTGCATTTTCTGGATGACGAGAAGTTCGAATACGTTTTGAGGCTTGAATTATTAGTAACATTCGCAAAACTAGTACTTGTTTCCTTGAAGGTTTCATGTTAAATTTGACTATAGTCTGGCACCACGAGAACCCCTTTTTCCAGTCGTTACAGTGCACTGGCTCACTTCTGTCTTGCATCTTGGGGAATGTCTAGAACTGAGCTCGTGATTGCTGTAGGTGTCCCGTTTTAGCCCCTATGTGTAACACGTACATGCACCCTTCCTCCCGCGAAGTATCAAATCCTGTAATATTAGTACTGTGTGTAGACCTCAGCGATTGACCTGGTCGAAACCACCTCGACGTAGATCCCGGTGGTGTGGAGGCTTTCCCTCCCGTTTACTGCAGCGGCTTTCATATTTCAACAGGGTTTGGGTTTGTTTGGATGCTGTAGTAAATCAGAGGCCAGTGAGGAATACGATCTCCTACTAACTAACTACGATAAGTCACTCGGCATCAATTATTGGGAATTCAGAAATCCCACATTTATCCATTTAGGCTTGATCTGCGCACATGTCGGCTAGCTGCCACTGCCCTCAGTAGCTCTTATAGCACCCCTTATAGTAAACATTATAGTAACCCTTACAGTACCCCTTTCCGTAACTCTTATGGTACCCTCTGTGAGGCTGTGGATTGGGAAGGCAATCCCTTCCAGCGTCGCATCGAAGGCTTCGAGGCATGGGGAGCAGGGAGGCTTTGCAATAGAGCATGGTCGGAGCATATCGTACTACGATTGCAGAGGGGCCAGTACGAAGAAATAAATGATTGCAATGCAAGTGGGAACCTGAAGAATATTGGTGCAAGTGAAGAACGAACTTGCAACAGTGATAGTCGTAGAAGCAGCAAAACCAATCGCTGTACAGGGCTTAGTGAAACAGTTGTGCATGTAGCGCTTGCACTTAAGTTATTAAGTTTTCACCTATTACTACAAGTAGCAAAGGGCCAGACTGTGCTTGGCTTAAGGTTACCAGCT